GGCATGCCGTGTAGTCCCGACATAGATTAGGCCACGACACACCTTACATTCCCGTGGGTGTCGTAAGAAAGTGGAAAGTGGTAACCGTCGCCTATAGACATGAGCGATATCATGGACATAACTGTTGCGCCCATAATGCCTCCCATGCGTTGCCATTCCTGAGGACTCAGATGTTATTCCTCTGGAGACTGTAAATTCACGCCATATCCCACCCTTCAAACCGAAACACAACTGCTTCACGGTTGAAACACGAATGGGACAGAAGTATCCAAACAATCGACTTTTGTACAAAGTCTCCCTCTGGTAGTAATAGTATATGATATTCATACATATTTGAATATAATAAGCTTTTAAGCATAGGCAGATTATAATTAATTTTTGTTTTAATTTATTTACATTCAAAAAATATTAACGGTTTAATATTACATATAACCTAAACATATTATAATAATCCTATGCCTATTAACAATTTTATCCATAACGATATGATTGCATTTTTTTAATTTTAAACATTTTCCTATATGTTAATAATATTTTGCTTTTTACATTTTTTTTATGGGCTGTTAATGGAATGGTAACTCCACCTACATTCTCGGTATATACTGGCGGGGCGCCATTGACGGATGTTAGGTGAGGATGAAATAGTTCAGTTAGCCCGTCGTGACAAATTCGACAGCGATGGTTTCCAAGAGGAATCGAGGGTTATCAACCTGATGAGGTTTAATGCTAGCAATGGAATTAGTAATGCCCGTTACTAATAACCCCTTCTCCCCCTATTTTTTATATTAGTAAATAGCTATTGTATTTGATTTAGTAAAACCAAATTCCTTAATAAAAACAGTGCTTGTTATATTTTCCATCCCGCGGACAATCTACTTCTTTTTTTACATCCATAAAAAAAAAAAAACTACAAAATGAATGATAGGGGAAATACGGACAAAATGACATATATGGACAAAATGACATAGACACCTTATATAAAAATTGGCGGGTTTTAGTAACGTCTCCACGACTGTATCACGTGACGGCAGCCATATTCACAAACCTGTCAGATGTTAAGCGCCATTGTCACAGTCGCGTCGCAGTAACCAGTTCAAACGTGTTTCGCGCTTTCAAAAGTTTATTTTTTAGATGGTTTTCTTCTGTTTTCTGGTGAGTTATTTGTTGTTATTTGTAATTATTTCTATTAAAATCAATGAACTTATGCCAGTACCCAGTGATTTTGATTAATTTTATTGCAATTATCAGCTGTTTGATGGAATTTTGATTTTTTATTCATTTTTGTTCATATTTGGACAAAATGAAATACATATACAATGGACAAAATGACATGGTATGTCATTTTGTCCGTAGACATCATGTTAATTAACATTTATTATTTTGTTTAGGTAATATGCCACGAAAATACGAAAGAAAAACTAATCGGCAGTCTTGGAGTCAAGAATCCATGAATAAGGCTATTGAAGCATGGAAGCAAAAAAAAATGGGATGGGAATTGGCCGCAAAAACATTCGGTGTTCCTCAGGCGACTCTTAGAAGACATGCACTCAATATGAATAAAACTTTGAATTCTAGCTCTAAAGGATTAGGAAGATTCAAGAAAACATTTTCAACTGAAATTGAACAGGAGTTAGTAGAACACATAAAGTTTTTAGAAACACGACTTTTTTTCACGCGTACATCACTACAAGAGCTTGCCTTTGAACTAGCCGAAAAAAATGGTATCGATCACCCTTTCAACAAGGACAAGAAACGTGCTGGACAAGAATGGCTTGACGGTTTCCTAAGAAGAAATAAGGACATTTCTCTGCGCACCCCAGAACCAACTGCTGCAAGAGCGCAAGCGTTTAATAAACCACAGGTAGCTAAATTTTTTCGTATTTATGAAGAATTTTTAAAGACTCACAACTTGGGACCTCACCGAATATTCAATATGGATGTCACTACAGTCCAGAGACCACAAAAAATTCTGGCCACCAAAGGCAGAAAACAAGTCGGCTGTCTCACCAGTGCTGAGAGAGGTTCGAATGTGACAGTAGTGTGTTGTACGAATGCCATCGGTTCATTTATTCCGCCATGTATGATATTTCCTAGAAAGAACATGAAAAACGAACTAGTTGATGAGGCTCCCACCGGTACTCTTGGACTAGCACAAGAATCAGGATGGATGAACAAAGAGGTGTTTGTAAAATGGTTAAAACATTTTCAGGCACATACGAAATCTAGCAAAGACGATCCGGTTCTACTTATTTGTGATGGTCACTCAAGTCATAAAAGCATTGAATGTTTGAGTTATGCCAAAGAAAATGGTATTCATATGTTGTGTTTACCGCCACATTGTACCCATAGAATGCAGCCCTTGGATGTTTGTATCTACGGACCATTAAAAACTTATTTCAATCAAGAAATTTCTAAGTGGCTAAAAACTCATCCAGGGCGTGTTATTACCCATTTACAAATCGGGTATTTGTTTAATGAAGCGTATGGAAAAGCCGCAACTGTTCAGAATGCAAGTAATGGCTTTAAAAAGACAGGCATCTGGCCTGTTAATCCTGATATTTTTCCAGACTACATGTTTGAACCGGCAGAGACCACAAATATTACGTTGAATCGGGATGATATTGCAGACAGTACACCTAAACTTCCCAGCTCACATTTACCATCAACTAAATGTATCAACACCTCTTCAATCCAAGAAGATCCGAGTAACGATGTTGCGTCTATTTTAAATTCATCAGCTACAAATGACGATGAAGTAGATTCTTCACAAAACACAACGAAAGCCACCACCAATGCTGATATTGGACTTGTTGTTTCCGATGTGATGAATCTGAGTTTAGGAACATGTGAAGAGGAGTCTAATACAGTTGAGGTAGCTGGAGCAGCGTACGATGACGGAGCGAGAGCTGGTCCATCAAAGCAATTACTGACATATCCAATTGCTTCTATTTCGCCGGCACTACAGGGGCAGTTCATTCGAGGCCAAGGAAAAAGAAAATTGAAACCTGTTAAAGGTAATTGGCTTTTAACTTCTACTCAAAATATGCAAGAAATGATTGCTAAAAACAGACCAAAGGATCCACAGGTAAAAAAGAAGAGACAGGTTAAAAGAAAATTTTTGGATAAGGATGAAATAAATATTCCTGCTTCCAAAAACGCTCTGCCATCAGAGAAGAGATTAAGACCATCGAGGCAGCGTAGAACTGCTCTGATATATGATAGCTCAGGAAGCGAAGATATCTTATGTGAGACAGAAGACGACGATAGTGACTGCGCTTGCATTTATTGTAATGATCTCTTTTCCCGGTCTAAGCCCGGCGAAGGTTGGTTACGATGTATGACTTGTTCCCTTTGGGCTCATGTGTCATGTGCTGATGTCCCAAAGAGGACCAAACGATTTATTTGTGAAGTGTGTTCTTAAAAATTAGTATGTCATTATGTCCTTATATTATATGTCATTTTGTCCGTACTATATGGACAAAATGGTTTTTGTGATTAGTTACATTTTTTCTTAATATATATTTTATTATAGTTCCTACTTAATTAAAAGACTGTATTACTGATAGTCAATGAACCTAAGATGAGTAAAAACGATTGAGACTGATTATAATATTATTAAATAAATAAATTTTATTCAAAAACAAAACACCCTGTCATTTTGTCCGTACTTCCCCTACTTTTTGCTTGTAACCGTTCATTTATACATTGTATACACAAATAATTACCGACGTCGCGCCAAATTAAGACATGGTAGAAAAAGTAACAAAAACTCCGCATCTCTAGAATCCTCTCTAAAAAGATGATTTATGACAGCGAACCGGCATAATATCACACGCTTGTAGCTAGCTGTTATACTGTGGATTAACAAAATGAATGTATTATATATCAACATAATATGTTTACGCATGCCGAATATTACTCGGAACGTGAGCGAAAGACAAACAGCGCTCTCTCCCAGGAACAGTCATAAAAATAACTGATTTTTTCAACAGAGGGCGCCTTAAAACTTCCATTCCATTTATTTCCACAAAAAAATAAACATCATAAAAACTTTACGCACCTCAAGCTTTATCTTATTCATGAATTTTCTGACGGTATTGGCGTAATAAGCTGCTGTTTCAGACTTGGGACTGTCAAACTTGGCGGCAAGTTTGACAACTGCCGTGCCGGTAGCGTATCTAAAGGTGCAGTTACACTAAGCAAACGCAGAGCGGAACATTCCGAAATAATTGGTAATTCAGAAAGTTTGTAAGGATGGATGAATGGATTTATGTTTGTTACTCTTTCGCACAAAAAGTACTAAACGAATTTGAAAAAAAAAATGGTATACAGATAGATTATATCCAAACTTAATATATAGGATACCTTATATAACAATTGATTTACGTAGAAACCACAGAATATAGCTAGTACAATAAACAAGCAGTATATGAAATAATTATGTTGTAATAAATTCAAAATAATAATTACGTTTGATATTTGATTCGATTCGATGACACAATAAAACACAGAGTGCAGTTTAAGAATATAAAATTATTCTAACAGGTAGAATAATTTTATATAACAGTAGGTCCACTGTTCTATTCTGTTTCTATAAAAAATTGAAAAAAAAAACAGTGGATCTACTCTGCTCTTTACCGTTTAGTCATAAATCTACACCTTCTAAATAAAATAAAAATATAATTTATTCAAGTAATTATCAGATTTCTGAATAGTCATTCCCTTATGAATCTAACACTCAGTTCGGAATACAATTTCAGCTGCAACCAACGGGCAAGAAAGCTGTTGCTTTTTTTTTTTCAAATAAAAGTTGAGTTTACAACAAAAATGTGAACAGATATTTTATCTGTTCACATTTTTGTTGACTATCACAAACTTCAATATGAAGTTTGTGATAGTCAACAAAAATAAGAAAAAAAAACTACAATTAATCACTGTATACTTGAACAGACCGGTCCTTACTTCAAGCATTCGTTCACGAGTATGACGGATGAACTAACCATTGTTGTATTCAACCATATTATAAAAAGTCCAACAGCTTGGCCCACCACGTCGCCAGCAATCTGGAAATTATAGTGAAATATCCAGATTGGTACAATCTATATTTAAAAAGTAAATTTAAAAAATCTACATTTACTCTGTGTTTGTTCAGTGTATGTGTGCCTTAAGGTGAATTTCGTCAGCGCGCGATAGATCTGTTGCTTAGATTGTACTTTCCAAGTTTCCGACAAGTTTCTGTGGTAAAAATGGAGTGTTCGCATTGGCAAGATCGTGTGAATGGTGATTAGTGAATGGGAGTGTTGTTGTTGAATCTTTTTCCAAGTTATCACTTAGTAAGAGTCCTTGCTACCGGGCGGACAACTTATAAAAATTGCTTATAACTACTGGAACAGAAAATACCTCTTGACGCTTACGGGTTCGGGTGTAACAGGCGTGACCTTGTCATATAGGTGATTAATATTAGTCAATTCAAGACTGATTAATTATCGACAAATATCTAAGTAACAAGATATGCCTACCGCAACCGAAAATATGTGTGTTTATCATAAGTGGATTTAGATTTAGGTAATTAAGACGTAATTTTCGCAGGCAGTCTAAGATCATTTAAAAAGAAACTTTTTTTTTTATACAACTTATAACGGCAAACAAGCTGACGGCCTACCTGATGGAAAGTGGTAACTGTCGCCTATAGACATGAGCAGTACCATAGACATAACAGAGTATACTATTTTGCCCATGATACCTCCCATGCGTTGCCATTCCTGAGGACTCAAGTGTTATTCCTCTGTACCCAGTAAATTCATGCTATATCCCACAATTGCTTCATGGTTGAAATACGAATGGGACAGAGGTACCCAAGCAATCGACTTTTGTACAAAGTCTCCCTCTGGTGAACTGAAAGACTGGCTTGTCGAAAATGGCTTCTATAGTGTTAAGGAATTCATAAAATATAAATAATCTCTAATTATGATATTTATCAATATATATATAATATAATTACAATTTGAAGTGACATAATTATTATTGTTATAAATTAATATTATTATATTAAATTAATATTAAACATTTTTATTGTTATTATTATATAGAAAATGTACTGTTTCCTCGAAATTAGAACAGAATACATTTTATAATGGGAATGACATAATTAACTGGACCTGTAATTGTGTATTTTCTACTGAAAATATTGATATATATATATATATATATATATATATATATATATATATATATATATATATATATATATATATATATATGCAGAGAATTCAATAGGTGAAACGGAATAATAATTTTAAAAGCAAATATATTATAATTTAGTTTTACCAGAGGGAGACTTTGTACAAAAGTCAATTGCTTGGGTACCTCGTGGCGTGAATTTACTGGGTACAGAGGAATAACACCTGAGTCCTCAGGAATGGCAACGCATGGGGGTATGATGGGTGAAACAGTATACTCTGATATGTCCGTGGTACTGCTCATGTCTATAGGCGACGGTTACCACTTTTCATCTGGTTGGCCGTCAGCTTGTTTGCCATTCTAAGTTGTATAAAAAAAAATAATGGTGTTATAATTATATAGGCTTTTGTAAAAATTAAAATCCGTGTGCTAAGAGTCCGATGTTTTAGCCCTATTTTTAATTCTAGACCTCATAAGGGATGACTATGTACGAGAAGGAAATTTCTAAATAAAACCAAGCCGGCAATATACTAAGCCGCTTTTCTAGTGAAATAATAATAGGCTATATCCTCCTTTTACGAGGAGAGACCCGTTCCCAGTAGTGGGTGTTAATGGGTTGTTAAGGTAAGGTAATTAAAATGGAGCTGCGAAATAACTCCTGTACGCGTCCATGGGCTACTGTAACCATTTATCATCAGATAGGCTATACATTTGCTACTGATGAGGGATAAAAAAGCTTTGATTTTTTTGCTCTAAGTTATAAAATCGAATTACAAGATATATCTGTCTTTTTTTTTATACCACAGGTGGCAAACAAGCATACAGCCCACCTGACGGTAAGTGGTTACCGTAGCCTATGAACACCTGCAATACCAGAGGTATTACGCGCGCGTTGCCGACCCTGAAGAAACCTCTTTACCCCCCCCCCGCCCTCCTTTGTCTATTTCGTGAACTATTTATAAATTGTTATCACACCAAATTACCATCTGAAAATTTGTCGACTCAATGGTTACTTCTTACTTTTTTTTCTATCACGAACAATGCCCATTCATTATTTTTCCTTTCGTTTTCTCAACAAAATTACACTCCTATTAAACCAATTCTTTTGATGAATTTAGCCCTTCGAAATACTTTTTCCCGGGGAAGTTTCGATAAATGAGAATTTCACCACGCCATGTCTGAATGCCCATTCAATTTATTTTTCTTTTGTATGAAAACAATTAAAGATAATTACATTGAAGCTTCGTTGACGCTGTTCACCTATTATGTTGGTACTTTATTCTATTTAAAATAGTACCTTTCAATTGTGAGTTACCTTAAACCAGGATAGGACTAATTAAATCTTTGGACGTAATTAATTACAATTGAATTGTAACTTTTTACTCACGTTTTTGGTGAGAGTAATTAATTACTGAATCCCTAAGGTCTAAGGTATTATAATTATCCCACAGGTATTGGCCTAGAAATAATTAGCTACAAAAAAATAAAGCTTCAAAATTAACGTCTACTTTTTTATCAGAACTTGTTACGGGTTAATTAAATAAAGTTAATTTTTTAATTATCTCGAATAAGAAGCCGACCCGTCAGCTAATTTAATTTTTCGATTAGAAAGTTCTTTTTTTATTAAAAAAAAAATAAAGCAAAGATGTTATTAATAAAAACTTGCGTGCTTACTTTATAATCAGAGATTCTTTCCAGTTCGATCGATCGAATCATTTGTACGAATTAAAAATTATTTATTTGTGTTACGCAAAATAAATCGATTTCAATTATGGCAAATCCAGTTATTTGACTTAAAACCTAAACTACTAAACCGATTTTGTTATAATTTCAATGGGACTCATCTGTTAGTATAGCCATTCAAATAAAAAGAAAATGAATTTTTCAAATCGGTTTACAACTAACAGAGTTATAAGGTAACAAACAAACAAATACAATTGAATTGAGAACGCCCTTCTTTTTTAAGTCAGTTGAACAGAATAATATTTTTTTAAAACATAAAGGAATAAATAATAAAATAGAAAAAGATAGGAAACATTTGGACGATAGCCTTGGTAGTGTAACCAATTACTGGCAAGACCCTTTTTATAGGAGAAGCCTATGTTCACTAGTAAGTTCGAGATTAAACAATTTTAAACCATAAATAAAATTTAAAACATAGATAAAACAATACTATTTTCCTATACACCGTAGCGCTATTATGCTGGACTTATCACTATGCCCAAGATATTTATTTATAACTATTAGATAATGTATTACGTGGTATAACCTTGAAATTTTGCACAATCTCCCTCATGTAACGTAAGGTAGAGACTAAAGAAAGGTTTTTGGTAATTCCCAATACACGACTTGAATCGGAAGATAACGGGCATCTGTAGGTCAAATCTCCTATACGAGTATATTTGCATATGGGACCCATTAAACGGTTTAAAAAATTTGAAATTACTCAAAATGCCTGAAAAATATTTTCGACGATTGCGATTTAATTTGAACGTCAACTTTTTCCTTCATTCAAGAGAAGCCAACTGATTGATTGATATATGGCCAGAACTGCTAGATCGAGAAATGTAAAATTTTGCGCATTGATTCCTTACATAGAGGGAGTTATGAAAATTCCTTAATATAAAAGGATTATTAAATTAGTTAATAAGAAATAATTATTTAAATACAAATAAAATTTAAAACGATCTATTACTTCTTTTTCACAAGGCAAGAAAGTGTTCTAGGCCACTTACTGGTACTTTTATTGACACCCTGAAAATAAGATTTAAATTAAAAACAATTTATTAATTAATTTTACTACTTAACAAACGTATATTATTTACGTGCACTTTATTGAATAAATAATAAAATAGAAAAAGATAGGAAACATTTTGACAATGGCCTTGGTAGTGTAACCAATAACTGGCAAGACCCTTTTTATAGGAGAAGTCTATGTTCACTAGTAAGTTCGAGATTAAACAATTTTAAACCATAAATAAAATTTAAAACATAGATAAAACAATACTATTTTCCTATACACCGTAGCGCTATTATGCTGGACTTATCACTATGCCCAAGATATTTATTTATAACTATTAGATAATGTATTACGTGGTATAACCTTGAAATTTTGCACAATCTCCCTCATGTAACGTAAGGTAGAGACTAAAGAAAGGTTTTTGGTAATTCCCAATACACGACTTGAATCGGAAGATAACGGGCATCTGTAGGTCAAATCTCCTATACGAGTATATTTGCATATGGGACCCATTAAACGGTTTAAAAAATTTGAAATTACTCAAAATGCCTGAAAAATATTTTCGACGATTGCGATTTAATTTGAACGTCAACTTTTTCCTTCATTCAAGAGAAGCCAACTGATTGATTGATATATGGCCAGAACTGCTAGATCGAGAAATGTAAAATTTTGCGCATTGATTCCTTACATAGAGGGAGTTATGAAAATTCCTTAATATAAAAGGATTATTAAATTAGTTAATAAGAAATAATTATTTAAATACAAATAAAATTTAAAACGATCTATTACTTCTTTTTCACAAGGCAAGAAAGTGTTCTAGGCCACTTACTGGTACTTTTATTGACACCCTGAAAATAAGATTTAAATTAAAAACAATTTATTAATTAATTTTACTACTTAACAAACGTATATTATTTACGTGCACTTTATTGTTCTTCTTATTCGAGAAAGTAACATAAAGAGCCACACATAAGTTTAATATGTTTAAGTGGTACTAAAACTTTTATGTTTTGCTTGTGTACTGAGATAGTAATTTAAAAAATATATACATGTAGTGGGATCTCGCATTATACTTAGCGCATTGATTACAAACTAGAAGTTAGATTACA